ACTCTTTCCTAAGGTCACAGTTTTGCCTGTGTTTATGTATAAAACCGTGTTCTGATTCTTCAGATGCTCTTGTTTAGATTTTGTCTGTGAACTAATAGCAGTTACTTTATTTTTCCCTAACTGTTCATATTCAAAACTATGAAACAGTTTTAAGGATCACATGGTTTCACTCTTGAATTGTAATTATTGTAGGAGTTTTGTGAAATAACTAATAATTTATTTTTCATCATTTTCCTTTACCTCTATTTATTAGGAAAATTAATTTTTTATTATTTTATCATCTTTACCTCCCTCTTCTGGTAGAAGATGGTAACGACACTGTGTGCATGCCTGCTTGTACCGAGTGGAGTCCTTTGTATTATCTATATACATATCTTTGCCCACTTTATACTCCAAGCCTCAAAACTTTTGATCTGGTTTTGCTGATTTCTTTAGAGGTACATTTGAGCAGAGGTTTCTTCCTTTATTTGTCAATTTATTACGGCTATTATATTTATAACATCACTTTTTTCATAAAGAGTACAGGGAACTTGAAATCAAGATGATCATTCATGAGAATCTCTTGTCTTCCGACAGATGATTAGCTGGACTAAAAACCCTTCACCTCAGAGAGCTGGAATAGGCTTTAATTTAATTTAATGTAAATTTCAGGGCACTGTTTGAGCCCTGAAAAAACTTGTATGATCATTTCTTATTTGTAACGATAAGTAGGAAGCAACACTGCTCACATGGGAGGTTGTGTGTGACTTCCAGCTCAGTACCTGCCTCTTGGAAGAAAGTGAAATACTGGTAACACCAGGAGTAGAACGTAACTAAAAGACGTCGTGTTGTCCATCCCATCACAGTAAAGACATGAGTGCACCTAGAATTTGAACTGGAAATTCAAGGAAGGCTTCTCACCATTTGAGAAGGATTTTTATGTGGCTTATGAGTTGAGTTGACTCTACTTAAGTGGTTTAGGAAGGAAGAAGTTGTGTGATAATCTAAAGGCAGCAGAGGGGAGGCAATTGAAGCTCTTAAAGTCATATTCTTACCTGACCATTTGTGAGATAGAAAGGGGATTTACAAGTAAACTGACATGAAATGCATGTTCTGTTTGTAGTTGGGTCAAGTCCAGTTGCTTCAGCTGCTGTCCCTGTTGCACCACCACCTCCTCCTCCTCCTCCGCCACCACTCCCTCCCCCAGGGCTACAACGGAGTATGTCTGCAATTGAGCTCATTAAAGAAAGGAAAAACAAAAAAACGAACTCTGGACAGAATCTGACTGAAAATGGGCCAAAGAAGCCTGAAATACCAAACATGCTAGAAATCCTCAAAGACATGAACAGCGTGAAGCTACGCTCAGTGAAAAGGTAATAAATTAAACAAATTGCAGAGTCTTAACATTTGCATTAGTAATTTGGTTTTATGACTCAGAACTATTTCATGGCGAGACAGATGCTGACGTAACACCTGACAAGCAGAATGCAAAAGCATTCACAACTCCTAAAGCTTTGCTTTGGACTATTAGTGCTTCTCATTTCTTTTCCAGATCACCAGAAGGTACAAAATCCAAAGCGGCTGACCCTACAGACCCTGCGGCGTTAATAGCAGAAGCGCTCAGAAAGAAATTCGCTTATCGATACCGGAGCGACAGCCAAAGCGAAACAGAAAAAGTGATTCCAAAGACTGAAACAAAGACAAAGACTGAAGTAGTGCTGGTGAGTATTGTGGTTCTGAGCACGTGCTTGGATGAAATTCTACTTGTTGTGAAAGCCACCTTAGGTCTTTCTGCCAACATATGCACATACCTACGAGTTAGCATCCATGTCCACAAGAACCTATGAAGTGCTGCTGATACACCAGGGTTTGTGGCAGTCTCATGTTTTTCCTAGCAGGGCTGAAGGTGGTGTACTTCTTTGGCCCTAGGGTTAAGAAGTCCTGTTACCAACCTTTCCCGTTCAGATAGTGCATGTGAAATTCTGAAGCAAGATCCTGAAACGTGGCTGCCGTTCCCAGGAACGCAGAAAGCAAATTGTTCAGAATGCCTGCTGGATCTTGGTATGGGAAGTTTCTTCTAATAATTGGAAATGCCAAGTGAATTAAGCAGTTTCTTTGTAGGTTGAGAATGTTAAAATGAAGTTATATTTAAAATTCACATCTTGGTACAGGTTAATGGCTTGTAGTTTATTTCAGATTGATTGGAAATTGAAGTAAGGGGGTTTTAAGGGGGGAATGTTCAAGATGCAAGTTTCTAGCCGTATACACTTACTTAAAAATCAGGCTAGTAGAGATGAGTTTTCTTTGTAAGCAATCCTTGAAGCCTTATGCTATAGAACCAGAGAGGAAGAGTAAAGTTATTTTTCCCTTTATGCAGTTGGAAAAATGTACATAAAACTCCAAAAGCTGGCTGTGCTCTGAATTGAGTTCTGAGGAAAATAAGCTTCCCAAGCCACAGATCTCAGGACTTGGGAGTACTTCAGCTTACTAACCTTGACTTCCTTGCCTTCTGGTTTAAGCCTTAAGGTATATTCTTGTAATGGTCAGGCTGTTCTTCATAACTGAAAGGCTAGATACCCCCCAAGAACCAATCACTTCTCCCCAGCACAAGGAAAAGAACATGAGTTGGCAATGTTTTATTCATACATGGGTTTTTCATTACTTTCCAGTTCTGAAATTTACAGTCCATCTTTGAGATTAAGGATCATCAAGTCCTCAAAAGCTAAGAAAATTTAAGGTTTTAATTTGTTAAATGATAGAATGTTGATCCATAATGAACTAATAAACATGTCATCAGTTATTTATTAATGTGTAACTTCTTTGCTAGATCAGTCCCAATATGACATCCTTGTATGATAAGAGTTTTAAAAAGGACTTTCACAAAAATGCAGGATAGAGTAAAAACAGAAATACTGTTAAAGTGCCATTAGAGCAATTGGTTGTCAGCTTCTAAAGATAACTGCATCCATCCTTATTTTGCTGGTCAGAGCTGCTCTAGTAGATGGTTAGCTGCCTCATCTGAGCGCTTTCAGCTGATGCTGACACAAGTTTCCCTGCACTTTGTGGCTATGAAGTGGGTGAAATCCACCTGCAGAGAAGCAGGCTGATAAAGGAAATTATCTCTGCCCCAGATCTGGTTTTACTTACAACTTGGACAGGTAATAGTTCAACTAGGTTTCCATTGAAAGCTATCTGAACATGTTTCTGGTTTCCTTCTCAGTTTGGACCACACATGCTGAAGTCTACAGGAAAAATGAAGACTTTAATTGAAAAATCCTAATGTGTTAAGATCACTGCGCGAAAGACTCTTGAGCTGTTCTGTCTGAAATATTTTATGTTGCAAATAGCACTAGTACTGAGTGGTCTCTTACAACACAGGAAAAACCTTATGTGAAATACAGAATTGAGGCACTAAACATGTTTGTATGTATGTGATTTATCAAGAGCAATAAATTTGACCATTATACTCAGGTATTAATTTTGTATTCAAACATGGTTTTCTATTCAGACTTACGTGGTGGTTTTAGTTTATTAACACTAAGTTATATATACAACATTCTTTGTGCATAACTGACCACCTTAAATAAATTGTGTACATGTTAATAATGACAGTGATAACCTTAAGTTAACATCAGTTATTTGAGCTCTATCTGTAACTTGCACTACAATGTTTAGTTTGATACTGAATTTTTCATGTCAAAGTCTTTTTTTAAAACTTGATTTTAGCAAATTTTTAGCCCAAATAAAACCTGAATGCATTCTGCTTACTGCTGAAAGGAAGTGAATTTTGAAAACCACTGCAGGTGTCACCTGGTATGAGACGTTTTAAGTAGCAGCACATTTTTGTGCAGGGTTGGTTGGTTCGTTGGTTTGTTTCAAATGAGCTTGCAGGGGTCAGAGAGCAAAACCTCCTTGGATCATCCTGTGGCCAACATAAAGGGTGCGTGACAGGCGGGTTAAACGTGCAGTGGGAGCCTCTGTGAATAGGTAGTCCAGTGAATTTTAAATAACCAGTAGATAGCAGCAGAGTAAAATAATTAATGTCAGAGTATGTGTTAACTAGCGTAGAAGTGGTGTAGATAAAGAGGGTACAAAGTACTGTGGGGTGCAAGCTGCCAAAAGTATATTGCTCATCTCCGCTGTGCCGAGATGCTCTTGGACACCTTTTTATCTCCAGCTGTCTTGTGTCCCTGGACAGCTTTCTAGCAGCTGGGGACTGCACAAGCCCTCATGGCCCTATTTGCAGGGAGGAGATGGTGTAAGCTGTTGCAGTAACCTCTTTTCGAGGGGAAGCCCTTTTGGGGTCATCCCATAGCAGCTGTTGGCTGCCAGATCTGTACAGAGCTACTTTGTTAACCAGCCACCTGAGCTCCTGTCTCCAGCCACAGATGTAGAAAAGGCTCAAGCTAAAAATAAAATTCAAGTTGAAAAAAGCTCTTTAGGAACCAGAAAGCTACAACATAGCTGCACACTTAAACGAAGCCAAGGTTTGCTCTGACTGCAGCTGAGTGCAGAAAAAGCGGAGTCTGGGTATTTCAGAGTTGGATCTGACTGCTGGACCAAGTGCAAGTGCCTCTTCCAGCTTCTGGTTTCTAGGAAGAGATAAGATCAGGACTTCAAACAAAGACAGGTGAATGGCTCTGACCAGGTTACCAAAGACAACCAAAGCTTTGCTGCTTATCGCTGGAGCGGACATTGTACAACTGAGGAGATGTTTTCTGGTGTGAAACTCGAGGTGGTGTTAATATGTACACAACGTAACTTCCCTCCAAACGCTCTGCCATCGGTCTTACTGACTGGCCATTAAAACTTTGTGTTCTTTTAAATGCCTTTAAAACACCTTTTTGAAAGTAAATTTTGGTTTATAGTTTTGTATTTAATGCTCTATTGCCATTATATAAAATTAAAAGCAGTTAAAAAGAAATATTGTGCGTGTGATTTGTGGTACTCTACAAATGATAGCAGCCACAATAAAATATAGTTTATATTCTATTGTAGTGCCTATAGATCAACTTAGTGACAACTTCCTTGCCTCTCTTTCAGGACTGGACTACTTACCTGGCTGTGCAGCAGGCCTAACAGTAGAAGTAGTCCTAGAACAGCAGAGCACTGTTCATTCAGTTACATTCAGATGAAAAAAAAAAAAGATATCAGGAACCAGTAAGAAGTTTATGCCTCACTACAAACGTAACAGGAAGGTACTGGCTTCATGGTCTCTCTACCCCCTGGTACAGTGGGTTCCCCTGGCAGTCCCTTGGTGTGGCACAACCCTCCCTCTCTCCCAAAGGGCCACCGAAGCTTCAGAACAGCTGGCCCAGAAAACCTCTGCTGAAGTCCTCGTCTTCTTTCAGAGACAAAACCTCTGTTGAAAGTGTTTTGATTTACATTATTGTAAAAGTCAGAGTTTAAATGAATCAACAACTTGTAAAATTTAGGACTCTACTAAAATGTGGGGAAAAAACTCACATGTTTTCAGTTTGAACGGCTGATGTGACATGCAGATATTCAGCACCCTGGAAACACAAAACCATGCAGCAAACATAACTATTAGTGATGTAAAATTATGGTAAAAGAAACACCATCTGCACAAGAAAATAAAATCACAAAGCTGCCATCAGTTTATTTCCCACTTTTCTGTACCTGAATTTGTATCTTCTACTTGAGATCTTTTCATACCCTGTGCCACTGCCCACACTCAGTAAAACACCTCGAGCAGAAGTGTTCCAACTAAGGACATTCACGCACCCTGGGCAGGGACCTCAGGCATAACCTATGGCCTCTCTGTATCTGTCGGTGTATGAGAGTGAAGAGTGGCCCACCAGGAGCAGATCTGTAGATTAAAATTTCTGGTGGGGACCTTGCCTCCACCCTCTGGACTTGGGCAGGGTGAGTGGCTGTTAGTGGGTGTAACGCATTCAGTGTGCTGGCGTGCACGTGGTGTCACCTGAAACTGCTGTAGGAACGCTGAAGTTCATTGTACATTCGTAGAAGGTATTTCTAGGCAGCATGTCCAAAAAAGAGGCATTAATTTGTTTTTTTAAATTACAGAATCAGAGAATTGCCTAGACTGGAAAAGACCATTAAGATCCTGGTTCTTACGGGGGATTTCATCACCCTGATACTTGTTGGAAAAGCAACAC